GGGGGAGGTGTCGCCCCCCTTTCTATGCGCCTGTGGTGTTTACGATAAATCTCCAATACTTTTCTCTCAGGAATGTTGTTGTCAACCCGACTTTCAACTGCTGAAAATTGATTGAAGACAGACGTTGTCAGACCTCTCACTCGCTAGCTCCACAACAAATGATAACAGAACACCTTGACTTGAACTTGGCGCCAGATAATAGGAATAGTCACCTACTTCAGGAAACTTACTAGTGCGCGTCTAGAGGGGCACGCAACTGCATGTCCGCTTGTATATAAAGGAAAAGGGAGTCTAGCGGAACTATCACAGTTGTCGTAGCAGTTGGAGCAAGCAGCTGTCTAACCCGCTCCAAGATGACGTACACGGCTCTGAGTGTGCTCGCTGTTTTTTGTCTGCTCGGCTGTTCTACAGGTAAGATTTCTTCTTTTCTATTACAATCACCATTTTTTATAATAGTGTAGAACTTATGAATCTAATTTTGCTTTGAGATTTCCGCCGGCCTCGGCTGCCGAGCGAGTCTGGCGGCTAGTGGCAGTGGCACCGACCAGCGCACCTCTTCCTCAGTGATCACTCTGGCCCAGTGGTCACCGGCCCCGCTCGGCAAACGGAAGGTTGGTGGGTCGATCCCAGCTCGCACCGACAATGATACTCGTTTCGCCTTTCTTCGTCTGTCGCATGTCGATGTCTCGAGGTTGTCTCCACGCGATGGCTCTGTGTCGTCTCTAAACGGGATCGCAAACGAGACCTGACTGAGACGCAACGGGAGACAAAACGCCACGTGTCGAGGTCGTCTCCATGTTGTCTAAGTTCGGTTATTGGCTTGTCTTGACAATGTCTCCAAAAATTCTCCACACTATCTCCCGTATGGAGTCAACCTAGATCTCTTTATTTTTGTACGGGATTGCTCTCTTTGAGAGAATATTCATTTAATGTCACAAGATAAGGGTGTTCCCGGTCTTGGGGTGCGTTCTTAGGGCGAGGGGTCGCTTACATTTACCCAAAGCAGCATAGCAACCACTAAACTAACGGTTAACGGGCAATTCTGGCCTTGTAGCTCTACGGTAAGCGAGTTTGAGTTGCAATATAATTTCTTAGTCGTTTAATTTTTCCGGTAGCATCAGTATGTTGATGAAGGGGTTGTGTTCCCTAAACCGTCTCGCTTAACAAACTGTGCGAGCATTAGTGCGACCAATTCGCGATAATATTGTGCTTTGACCTTGAGCTACGAGATGCGTGTAAGCGGACTGTCGGACGAAATAATGGGAAATGATTCTTACAAATCTGAGACTCGAGCGGCCAACTACTAAGATCCTGACAGTTATCTGCATTTAATGTTGACACACCAATAGACGGTTCCCGCTGTGCCCATTTCAAGAAGAATTAAGGAAATCGTCACCGGAAACAGTTCCGAAATTACGGCAAAAACTAGTGCAAATGAACCTTCATAGTTACATGGACTTCCTCGAGGTCATCTAAGTGAAACTGCACAGTTAAAAAGGAAAAGTAAGCGGACTGTTCATACTGGTTCCGGTCCTGATTTCCTTACTTCTTCTCGAAACGTGCAGAGCCGGAACCGTCTATTTGATGTTTTTCCCTCTCTAATAGGGTATTTTTAGCCCCGGATTGATCCATATTGCCTGAAATCGCGTAAATTTTGTGTGTTAGCGAGCTACGGTTCGTCTGCGATTTATTCCCGATTGATTGTCTGCTCGGCGGACTTGTTTT